AAGTGGGGCTGGCACAACAACAATGTCAACGGCAACCACAGTGGCACATAAGAGCTGACGACAGCAAGTCAGAAGGCCAGAATGAATACACTGAGCGAAAGCAGCTTAAATCAAGCTCAGATTTTGTTTTAGGAAATTTATAAAAATTAATTTTTCTTAAGTAAGTTTGAATTAATATTTGGAAACTTAATTAAAATTAGCTAAACGAAAGTTAATAGGATCATTTATATAGGGTTTTTATAGGGTTTATGCATACTAAGGCTGTTGTTTTCATAGCTATCTATGTGAGCTTCAATATACTCTATATACTAAAGGGACTCATATGCTGCTTAATAATATATAATATTTTTTTTTATGTTTTTCTGGCTCAATATGGAATCTATGATTCTTTGAGTATAACTCGAGAACTATAAGAGCTAAAGTCATAAAAATTGGTATACTGGCTCTTTCGAATCTGATTTTAAAAATATTTAATAATTTCCTAATTTTAATTTCATAATATTGATAGAGCTCAACTTAGGAACTTTCGTTTTTTCAGCATATCTCGAGAACTTTTAGAGTTTAATTTAAAAAAATTGGTATATAAGTTCTTCTGAATCTGCTTTCATCAATATGTCTCATATTTGCCTTATATCGATAAGGCTTGCCTTAGAAACTTTATGCTGTTTTTCAGCATAACTCAAGAACTATAGTAGCTAAAGTCATAAAAATTGGTATGCAAGTTCTTCTTAAGAATATATAAAAGTAGGAATATTCTTCAGTTCGTATAGCTGTTTTAAGGGCAGAAAGCGAAGTAAAAATCCTTGGATTTCCTGATATGTGCTAGACAGGCAAGCACTCTCTCATGTCTCTTCAACAAACTTTTGTATTTTTATTATCAATTAAAAAATTTACTGAGCTACTCTTAATGCTAACGTACGTAGAACTTACAGTTTAGCCCACGCTTTTCTCTCAGTGCACTCTTTTGCGGTCAGTACCAGTGCCGATGTCTATGCTGCATGGCAGCACTCCGCTTGGCAGCGCGACGCATGTGTCTATCAGCCGCTGCTGCCCTGGCTCATAATGATGTTGGCCGGGCTAACTGCCGCTTGCGCCCTTTGCCGTTGCCTTAGTCTTGGTTGTTGGCTTTGTTGGCTTAATTAAATTGTGGTTGCCACTTGCAAACGAAGCGCGTACACAAAATCACACAACACAGTGCAACAATGCAACAATGCAACAACAGCGACTGTTGCACGTTCCGTTTCACTTGTTAATTCGCTTCTTTTCATACACTTTATTGTTGTTGTTGTGGGAAAAGTGGTTAAAATGTGTGTGTGTGTGTGTGTGTGTGTGTGTGTGTGTTGTGGCTAGCAATAACATTAAAATTATAACCACAATTCTGCACGCAGCACTAAATAAATTGGTAGCTTAACTAGCTGCGGGAATACCCCTACTTGAACTCTTTTCAAAGTTTTGCTATCAACTCTCATCTTAGTCGAATCAAATTTCCCATTGACAGCTGAAAGTTTTTCTGGTCTCAGATACTTAAGATACCTATGCGTTGATAAGTGCTTGGCTTATGCTCTACACTGAAAGAAATGACTGCATAGATAGCAGCTATGTGAGTTTTCCTAGTCTTAAAATTATTTTTTCTTCCCATTTTTCCCTTTTCACTTCGATTTTTTCACACTCAACTCGACTTTTTCGCCAAGTGCATCATAAAATGAGCACTCGGAACATTTTGACTGCGCTTTCAGGAAGCATAACCATGCATGTTACTGCGTGCATACCCCGGGCTTTCTGTTACTTCCTTGTTTATGGTGCATTTGTCCTTTCGAAGGACAAAATACAATTGGAGCCGAATAGTGCGCAAAAGTTGCTGACGCGAAGACTTGGCCAAATCCCAGGAAAAGCCAAGTTGAATTGCAGCGCTGCCACCCACAAATGACCTTTGCGTGCCCCGCTGTGGCAGCCACTGGAGCTGGAGTTCTCTTTGTGCATGGGAGTCTAAGCGGAGTTGCTATCACGTTGAAACTTAAGTTGATTTGCTTTTTTGTTGAGCATAAAATTCAATCAGCTTCAGCTGCATTCAAAAGTTACGAGCTGGCACCCTGTCTGCCTGCGCTCAGCTAGCAGACAGCCACGTTTGTCCTTAGCGTGTCCTCTGGCAGCGGGAGTAGCAGGAGTAGCAGCAGCAGCAGCGGCAGTCCTTGTCTCGCTGTCTAGACCGCTGCAGGGGTCGCATGCAGCGTCATGACAACCGCATGCGATTTATGCTATTGCCCTCTCTGTCTGACAGGCATGCCGCGTGCCCCTTACCCCAACGGCGTGTTGCCACTTTTATGTGCCACAAGCGACGCGTTAATATTATTAAATGCAAATTAAGCTTTATCTCATTTCGTTCATTAGCGGCCAATTTGCGCGCCCTTGTTTATGAGGTGGTGGGGTTAAGCATTAACAAACTGGCACGCCTCCAGCCCCCGCTTGCCGCATGCTTAGACTGCGGCAATTATCCTTGTAGAGAGGGCGAGGTGGAGGTAGATGATGCACTGCATCATTTGCGGCGGCATTCCAATGCGTCTACTAGCAGCTCCAGCTCCAATTCCCGGCTCTCAACTCCCAACTCCCAACTCCATTCGCAGCTTCAGCTGAAGGCGTGCTCACTTCCTGGCAGCGGGCTAATTTGCAAACCAATTAAATGTCAATTTGAGGCATTGTTCGCCATGCGCCGACGTCGACACAATGTCTGCCGTGTCAGCGCGTTCAACTTTTGCCCAGACGCCGAGCCAGAGCCAGACTTGCAATTCACTAGCAAAAGGCGCAAAATGTGTTGTCGCCGCCTCAGCTGCATTGTTGGGCGCATACCCTGTAATTGCCTAGCGGCACTAGGGGTATATGGCAGTAGATGATTGGCAAGCAGCTGTAAGTTTCAATGTGTAGCATAAACTTAATATTGACTTTTCACATTTATCGATTTATATCGATTATCAACTTTTTCTTTTGCTGACTTATTCGATAATATCGAAACTGGATTCAACCATTAGCAGCTTTATCATGCTGCCTTTAGCTGATTGTCAATCGATTACAATTTAATTTAGTCATTTTGAGCACATCGATAAATATCGATATTGCCCAGCTCTTGTTTTGATATATAGCTCTTTATACAAAGTATATCCCTATCTTATGCTAAGCTCTGTACCGCAGGTTTTATAATTTATCGATACAATCGATATATATCGATTTATAACAGATGTTTCAAAACAAGTTTCTCTCTTAAGCCTTACAAGAGCTAGGAGCTTATAGACTAAATCTAATGCTCGTAACTCTTTTAGTCATACAGGGTATCTCCTAGTCTGGCCTGCTCTGCGAGCATTTCTATTTGCTGCTGTTGTTGTTGGCAGCTGCAAAGTTTGCCCAGCGCCCAAAGTTTTTACTGGCTGTCTAGACGCGACTTCAGTCGACTCCTTTGTAGACTTCGACTTCGACTTCGACTTCGACTGCGACTTTAGTTGTATTTGGTCGCGTAGTTTGCATAAGTTTTAGCTGCCTATACTCCACAGCTTGCAGCCCCTCGACTGACACGCCCACCCCTCAGGCCACCTGTGCAGCTGTCGTTGGCTTTGGCTTGTGGCTTGAGCCGTTGCTGTTGCCGCTGCCGCTGCCGTTAAGTGCATTTTAATGCCTCAATGTGGGCAAAGGGCGTGATTCAATTCAATTGCCGGTTTGTATTCTCCCACTTTGTGGGCACGAGCTCTCTGCCCGTCACACGTGGCGTATGCGTAACAATTGCGTAACAGGTCGAGACAGTGGATGATTAAGTCATTGATCTATAAAAGCTTACAAAGCTTTCAAAGCTTTATCAGCAGCTTTTGACCCACTTCCAGTGGCTTTAAGCTTTGCAAGCGTCTGAAAGCTGCCTTTAGCTAGAAGTTCATTAACATTACGAGAGCTTTTGACTGAGAATATACTAACCTATTACACTACGTGATATTAAGCTCTCATTAACTTGGCTTAAGCTCAACGCGCTATATAATGCTGACTGCTGAGAGGCTGGCTTAACACAAGCCTGAAGCTTAAGTTTTCTCAAGCTATTCACTATTAACTGTTGCATTATTTTGAAAGCTTTTGTAGCTGTTTTCTAAAGCTCAATTTGCCTTTGGGCAAATGTCAATTCAGCTTAGGCTTAAATGCTTGACGTCGAATTTGAAAAGCTAAACAATTTCCATCAGTGATTATTTATGTCCATTTGGCATCGTGTGTCGTTCGGCGCTTCATGCAAATGGAAATGCGGCCGACAAATGCCCAACAGGCACGCCCACAACCGCAGCAGGAAAACGGATGCCAAAAAATAGAGAGAAGCAAAAAAAAGCACACACAAAAAACTAGAAAAATTTGTATGCAAATGGAGGAGAAGCCCAGAGGACCCGAACGAGAACAGGCAATGCCAGTGCATTGGAATATGGCTGCAGGATACTTTTAGCCACAGACACCGACGGTGGGCACTGGGCGGGTGGTTGGAGCGGTTTCGATAGGGCCTAGCTGGGCAATGAGTTTTTGAGCTAAAAGTTGAATTGTGCAACAAACAGACTCGCTTGCTGCCCCTGTCCCACTCTAGCGCTGCGTGTGTTCGTTTTCGACTGTCTGTGTGGTATGCACTTGTCTAGACGTTGGCTAGACAGTGTAAAACCAAAACCAAAAAAGAAAATAAAGCAAAATAACAGAACAAAACGAAACGAATTGCATAGCACATTTGGCATGTGTAGCCAGTGTGTACCGTACCACAAGCCTCTCTCTCTCTCTCTTGACAGTCGACAAATTCTGAACAAATTCTTGTACAAGCCAAAGGCATTCAGTTGTGATGAACAACATGTTGAGTTATTACTGTAAAGGCTTTTTAGCGACTAGCTTTAGTGCACCAGTTACTACTGTACTGCACATGTTGCCACGTTTAGCGAGTGTCTATCGTGGCACGAATCCAGCTGAGAAATGCATTCAATTTTATCAACAAACAGTTTTTCTTCTTTTACTTTGTTTTATACAACTTAACTAGTTACTACTGTAGTGCTACAGTGAATTCCTAACTACGCAGCGCCGAACTTCTTGCGCTGATAAGGTTCAGGCAGCATATTCAAATAGTTCTTCGTCTGCACGCCAACCGTGACCAGCTCCTGCTCGTTAAGTCTGCAGACCTGCACCAAATGCTGAAAGGAAGCACAGAAAATTAGAAGCTTCAATTGAGAAATCAGAGACTTATGATCTTTACCTCCCGATTGAGTCGCATCTTCAATCCAAAAGTCCTTATATCCGTTGACTCCACGGGCTTGCTCAACCTCTTGGCTTTCGAAGGCACAGTCTGATGCCGCTTTTCGTTCCCATAGCTTTTCACCACATACAGATACACTTCATCGTAGACAATGATTATATTTGGATTGTTGGCATCGAGCAGTATGCCTCGAATGCTATGCGGATGCTCTTCGAGTTCAAAGAGCTCCTCGGTCTCACAGACCAAGCGCCGCTTCTGCACATCAAATTCCACAATGCGTCCATCCGCATAGGCAACCACGAGGTTTGGCCTGCCCTCGTGCATGGCCAGCGCTGTGGTGGGCGCTTGGTAGCGAGGCAAATTGAGTAAATGCTTTGATTTTGCGCCGCGCAGCTGCCAAATGGCAATCCTATGATTCGTGCCAGCTACGATCAAGTATTTGCCACATGGAGACAGCTCCACCAAGTTAATATGTGACTTCATCTCCTTGCTCAAATCGATGCTAAAAGCAAAGTCCACCTGTTGCTCGCTCAGGGTAAAGCAGCGCATTTGACGCGTTGGTGCGTGCAGCAGCCAAAGCAACTCATTGGCGAAGATTATAAAGCTAGCCGGTTCCAACTCAGCGGGCAAATCCGTTGTCAAACGCTGCACGCCCAGCGGTTCGCATTGTAAACGACTCAGACGCAGCTCGTCGAGCGTTGAGTAGCAAAGCCATTTGCTGTCCGGCGAAATGGCAGCTGCCTGTATAAATTTGTTGGCTCCCACGACAAGCTGCAATAGCTTCTCGGGCATTTGCTTTAGCTGCAGTTGCTCGCAGCTGCCCGCAGCTAGACGCTGCTCTTGATTCTCTGTTGTATCATGCGGCACGCCCAAACGCCACAATTGCAAATCTTGCGGATAGCGAAGGAGCAATAAATTACCACTCGATGCTAGGCTAGCACTCTTGCCAGGCAGATAGGGCGCATATTTGGCGGAATAGCCGCGTGTTGAGATGCAGAGCAGACCATCCTGGCCGCCAGAAATAATGCGATCCCCAATAACAACCAGTGCCTTGACATAATGACTGTGCACATCGCGTTGCAGAAACCTAATCCAACGTTCGCAAACAGAATCTTCGCGTTTGATTTGCGTTTTGCTGAGTACGCGTATCAAAGGTGGTTGCATGCCACTGCAAACCAGACGATCCTCCTCCTCATTTATGGCCAAAGCAAAGACGTTCTTTTCGAGTACTTTGCAGGACTCAATTTGTGTTGCATTCGCTGCATTCCAAACGGTAACGAATCCCGCCGAGTCTCCTGCTATAATTGTATTATCCTTTAACACTTGCAGTGCATAGACAATGACGTCCTTGTCTGAGAGGGTCATTGTGTGCAGGGTATGTCCATTGGCAACGTTCCAGATGCGTACAGCGCCTACTGATCCGGTGACGAGGCGTTTGCCTGGCTTATCAAATTTACAGCAGAGAACGCGTCCTTGTTGCTTTCTAAACAGCAACTTATAGTTGATTTCGTCCTGCTCAATGTTCATTAGGTTGATGTGTCCCTCCTCAGAGCCGACAGCCAGTTCGGTCTCAGCACTATTCACATCCAGACACCACAGCGCATTGCCCGTCGGTGATTGCACGTGGCGTGGTTGCAACGTATTCAAATCCCATTCAATTAGCTTTCCTGTCAAATCCACTGAGAACAGGCGCCTGCCTGCCCAGGCCATGTTCTCCGCTTGCGATTCGGGTGTTAGTTGTATAACTTTCTCCAAATAGGGCGCATAATGCATGTCCCAAAGCTCTATGGAGCCATCATCACTGCATAGCATATAGAAATTAACTTAATTTTATTGTTTCTCAAGTTTAATATAAATTTCTTACTCACCGGCTGAGCGCAAGGCATTTAATAGCCTGGCTGTAGGCCAAACAAACAATCGCACGTGGCTTTATTGTGTAGAAACGCACATTGTGCAACTGGGCGATGCCCTTTGATACGGTGGGCAAGTCTGTTTTCATTGTAAAACTTGCTTAAAATTGAGTTTTACTTAAAGAAAACAAATTCGCACGTGTGTCAAGCGCGTTTGACTTTGGCCTTGCCAGACTGCAGAAACCACGATGTAAACAATGCCATTCACGGCGCATTGTAAGCGAGTGTTATAATTATCGATATGTGCAATGAAGCTAGCGCAGAATTAGTTGTGAGAAGTGGTCTTAATAAAGTGAACATTAGAAGCAGATAAACTTAAAAAATATTAGAAAATAACTAAAAGTACATTTATCAATTCGATGTACGCAATGTAAACAATGTCAGTCACAACAATCGCATATAATGGATTTAGTCATCGATATTTTGTGCGGCAAGTCACAGTGTCATAAGGCTAGTTCACAATAGAGCTAAACAACTAAGTATGGGGGTGGATTTTTTTTTCTGTTTTAGAAAAGTTATCATTGTTTGCTAATTTAATTATTGATGACAGTGAACCAAAGCAAAAAACCCGCATGAAACGTAATTAATTATGCAATAGCAATAACGAATTACCATTCAGCAACATCAACAGCAGCAGCCAGCAAAATGCATCAATCAATATGGGGCTGGAGTCTTCCATTGCTGTTTCTGTTGATCCTCGGCACACCGGCCATATCCTCGCGTGTCCTTGAGCTAAGCGATCGCTTCATCGATGTGCGCCATGAAGGTCAATGGTTAGTGATGTTTTATGCACCTTGGTGCGGCTATTGCAAAAAGACGGAGCCGATATTTGCGCTAGTCGCTCAGGCGCTCCATGCGACAAATGTCCGAGTGGGTCGATTGGATTGCACCAAATATCCTGCAGCAGCAAGAGAATTCAAAGTACGTGGCTATCCCACAATTATGTTTATCAAGGGCAACATGGAGTTTAACTACAATGGTGATCGCAGCAAGGATGAGCTGGTGGATTACGCTTTAAGGATGTCCGGGCCACCTGTCCAGCTGGTCACCCGGACAGACAGCGTGGATATGTTGAAGGGCTCCCATACGATCTTCTTCATGTTTGTGGGTGCACAGCAAGGCGTTGTCTGGGACACATACTACGCAGCCGCCGAGGGTTACCAGGAGCATGGCTTCTTCTATGCGACCAGCGAAGAGATTGCTGCGCAGCATTTTGATTTTGAGAAGTTGCCCGCTGTAATTGTCTACAAGGAGGAACAACATCATTTCTATCCACACGGACATGTGGCTCACGAAATGGATCCAAATGACGTCAATGAAACCATATTCCAATGGGTAAATGTGGAGCGTTTCACGCTGTTCCCAAGGGTCACGCGCTTCAATATCCATCAGCTGCTAAAGACGAAAAAGTTCTTAGTGCTCGCTGTGGTGCAGGAGGATAAGCTGAGTCAGATAGCAACGCACGAGCTGGAGTTTAGGGATATGGTTGAGGGTGTCATACGCAAGCATCGACCGCGTTACCATGAAAAATTCCAATTTGGATGGGTAAGCAGGATGCTAAACCGAATTCAGTTTAGTTCTTACTCGTTTTACTCTTTCAGATTGGCGATCCGTCTATAGCACATTCCATTATACTGGACCAATTGCCCACGCCTCATTTGATAGCATTGAATTCCACGACTCAGCATCATTATATACCCGACGACGATCCGCTCCAGATGACGCCACAGGCGCTTCACCTGTTCCTCGAATCAATTAGCAATGAGAGCGCCACTGCCTACGGTGGAGATACATATTTTGTACGAGTGAATCGCGCACTCTTTGAACTGAAGCGTTCCTTGCGCGAAATGTGGCGTGGCAATCCGGTTTTGATGACTGTCATCTTTGGCCTGCCACTGGGCTTTCTCTCGCTCATCATGTATTCCATTTTCTGTGGCGATTGTCTGGTCACAGAGGAAGATCAGGAGGAGGATCACGAAAAGAAGGAGTAAAGCAGCATGGAGGATTGCAAGATGAAGAAGGAATAGAGGAAGCAGGACCGTAACAAGAAGAAGTAGAGAGAAGATGAACTAAAGAAGAATAATGAACAATAGAAGGACGAAGTCAGAAATCAGCTGTATAAGAAGGAAGAGTGCTCGAGAGGAATATCCAAAAATGTACTCCTGTGTGGTCACTTAGAAGTAGCAGGAGGATAACTATAAGAAGTACAGGAAGTGGAGTCTCACTAAAAGAATATGTAGAACAGCAGGAGAATCTACTCCCAAGCTAAAAATTCATCCCATTGTTAGTGCAATTCTCACAATTCACAATGTACTTGCATTAAGCCAAAATCTAGTCTTATTTTAAACGACATAAACTACATTTTGCTGATAGAACTAATAATTTTTTGAATTACTAAACGATTTTTGTATACCCTACGAAATGTGTAACACTTAACTGAAGAGTTGCTAATAGGTATATATGCATATATATATCCTTGATCAGTAGACTTTGGACATCATAATTTATGAGTAGAGTTTCTATAAGATATTTTTAAAAATCGCAGCATTCTATTAGCGTAACAGTAGCTCTACTTTAAAAGCAGTCTTTTTGAATGAAAGGATTTAGACTTACATTAATAAGCTTTTGAGCGGGAGATAATGAGAAGCATATTCTGTAAAGGGATATAAATAGATGTCACGAGAAAGAGGATTTGAAAACTATTTTAAAAAGTATTTTAGAATTGTTACAACAAATAAGGAAAATATAGGAGATATAGTTTTTGCAGCTGATAATAAAATCATTGATAAAACCCTAGGACGGTAGAAGCAAAAATAGAAAGTGGTACATTATAAGGCTGTTATATAATAATCCACTCTATCATATATAATCGATCTCTTTAAAAAACAAAACAATGAGATTACTGACTCGAACTCTAATGGAAGAAATGTCATTTCTAAATACCCTCAATGAATATTAAGATCTGCCATTAAATGCATTTGTTAGTATATACAGAAATCAGCAACACGCCAAGGTCCACTGTACTCTCTCTTTTTTCTTCATTTAATAAACATAGTTGTTAAAATTAGCGGATTCTCTAAAGCACATCTGTTTTTGAATTCGAATTTTGTTGCCTGGAAAAGGAAAACTTAAGCAATTCAACTCCATTTAAGCAAAAATCAGCAACCATAGTCTTCGTCGTCGTCGCTGTCTATGGCTGCACGGCGTCTATCGTACTTCACAGTGGATTTGCTCTGTGGCATTTGGGCATTGACGCTCTCTAGGATGCTCACGAATTGTGCATCATCCAGTTTACCTCGCACTTGGCCCATTTGGGCCATGCGTATGACCATGTTCTCGAACATTTGTGCTTTGTCTGGTTTGCTCACTTTCAGTGTGTTGACTGCAATTGAGAATGCTTGTGTTAGCCAGGCTTCACTGTACCAATTGTTTACTTACGTCGTGCGCGCGCCTGCTGGTCGAGCACTTGGGAGAGTATTGAGTGCTTCATTTCTTCCTGGGCGCGCATTTGCTCCTGCTGAGCCTGTTGTTTTTCAGCATTGTTGCCGGCGCCGCCACTCTATATAAGCATTGAAGGGTATATCGATTAGCGGATACCCTTTTTCTCACAGGTGTGCATGAAGCCAGCGACAACAGCAAAAGTTATGAGTCATACAAAGTGCTTTAAGCCATCGAACATAACTTGCATAGTATTTATTTAAAGCGATTTATTCGTTGTTCAAAATTATTTATATTATTTAATTTTATTTTTTATTTTGCTGCTATTTTTGGCATTTGGCAATAAGATAGCCGTTGACATTATTAAGCACATGGTTTTGCCTTTACTTACTAATTGAGCCATGCGCTGTGCGCGCAATGCATCTAAATCGCCGTCAGACATATTTAAAGTTCAATATAATTTGTTTAGGTTGTTATATTTATTAAAAAGTATAAAAATCATTCGCTGTTTGCTCCGGCAGGCAGTGTATCGATACTAGCACACAATCAACGTGTGAGTAAACTATCGATAGGCGCACGTCGCTACAAGTGCTTATCGATAGACTGTATGCAACGCCGAAAGGTAGAAGAAGCAGATACAGATATAAACAAACAGCTGTGCAGACAACAATCGGTTAAACAAAATTACACAGAATTGTGCAAAACTTCTGTTAAGTACTTAAATATTGCTAAAGATGACCTCTCCACTCGAAAACTTGGAAACGCAACTTGAAATGTTTATTGAGAATGTGCGGCAAATACGTATAATCGTTAGCGACTTTCAGCCACAGGGCCAAAACGTTCTCAATCAGAAAATGTAAGAAAATCTTCGCCGGATTAATAAACCAAGCTTAAACAATTCTTTTTTGTTGGTAAATGCAGCAACAGTTTGGTAACCGGTTTGCAGGAAATTGACAAATTGCGGCCCCAAGTGCAGGATGTATATGTACCCTTCGAGGTGTTCTTCGATTACATCGACCAGGATAAGAATCCTCAGCTTTATACAAAGGACTGTGTGGAAAAGGCGCTTGCCAAAAATGAAGAGGTAAAGGGCAAAATCGAGAGCTTGAAAAAGTTCAAAGCAAATCTGCTACTGGAATTGTACAAGACATTTCCCACCGAAATGAACAACTACCGAGCTTACAGAAAAGACTCAATCTAAATAATAGTTTTGTAAGCCTGAAATTATTATATATACAAAATACAAATAAATATGTTCTTTGTCAAAAGTAAAAGCAGATTGCGTCTTATGGTCTTTCATAAACTTCAAACATTCATTAAAATATATGATTTTAATTTATCGTAGTATTCAGTTTCGTACCACTGTAAAAGTTTAAGATCTAAGTAGGATTTTAAGTAAAAGGGGTTGCGGGAACGATTGGGATTTGTATTCTGATTTCAAATAGGGCATTTGGCAAAAAAAATCCCGAAGGCTCCAGTGGCGCAATTGGTTAGCGCACGGTACTTATAATCAGTAACTGTGTATGAGCAATGCCGGGGTTGTGAGTTCGAGCCTCACCTGGAGCAGCAAACACAACTTGAAGTGTTTCGTATATTTTTTACATTTTTATTAAATATAAAAATATATACGTTTGTATACATATACACTCTTTGTTTTTTTTTGTGTCTGCTATATGACGATTGCATTCAATGCAAAATTATATTTTCCATTCTGTTAAAAGAGAATGCAAGCATAGAGCTGTATCACAGTGTTGCCAGACTGTCGGGTGCTGCTGTGTCAGCTGTTTTTTGTTTTTCTGTTTGCTTGTGTAATTGATAAGAGCTTTACTTTTTATTATTTATCGAAAAATGCGCAGAACGTTTGCATATTTGAGAACTGGTTTTAATGGATTAAATTGTAATGAAATAAATGGACTAACCGCGAGACATGCGTCCTCGGTTTGCTGGAATTGCCAAAAACCGGGTAAGAACATGATATGTGGGGATTGCGGCAGTCTGCAGGATGTGGATAATAACACGGCAAGTAATTGAATCGCTCTTATAATATGCATAAATAATTGTGTGCTGGCTTTTCCCTCGTATAGAACTACTTTGAGCTGCTAAGTTTTCCCACCAAGTTCTCGCTGCAACCATCGGAGCTAACGCAGCGTTTCCGGCAAATGCAGGCGCGTGTGCATCCTGATAAATACAGCAATAAGTGAGTTATCAGATTAACAATTGGCGCTCCATCACTAATGAGTGGCTACCACCTGCAGAACTACCCGAGAGCAAACCAATTCAGCGGACTGGAGTTCGCTGATCAATAAGGCATATAAAACGTTGGCGGCACCCGTGGAGCGAGGTCAATATATGCTGGAGCTGGAGGGCGAGCAGATGCCGCAGGATAACAGCGCACTAAACACGGCTTTTCTGATGGCCATGATGGAGCGCAATGAGGAGGTGGAAGAGGCTGCCGACAGCAAAACGCTAGAGCAGCTATATACACAGTCAGTCCAAGAACTAGCAGATAAGGCGCTTAAACTAACGGCACAATTCGAGACAAACGATTTGGCTGCGGTGAAGCAGACGTTGGTGGAAATGAAATATTTACACAGCATACAGAGCAGCATTAAAAAGAAACAGCAACAGCTGATGGCCAACTGAGCATGCATATGCAAATCGATTACTCGATCGTACATCGATACCCAACATACGGAAACAAGACGAAGAAGAAGAACCAAAACAGCTGGCAGCACCGGCAAAGACTTATACTGATATTTTGTTTCTTTGTTTGTTTTTTTTTCCAAAAACCAACGATCGATTAAAGTGGAAAATGTAATGAGAAATACGAAAATCACCTGTCGACACTTGGCTAGGGTGCTACTTATTTAATGACTCGCATTTGTAAGGTAATTGTAATTGCTCGACTAGTTTTTTTCTTGCTGCTGGTGCCTGTGCTGGTGACATGCGCGATCAGTAGACGAGCTCCACGTAGGCGTGGTCACTGCTTAAGTTAGCTTTAATTATTGTACTTTTGTCCCAAAAACCAGATAAAAGTTCCCCGTGACAAATCACTGCCCGGTGATAATAATATAATCAGCTAGCCCTGCATTGAGTACACACAAACTCAAACACTCTCTCGTATCACTTACACCTGCCGATACACAGACTCACTCGTACACACTCACACACACACACATGAGCACGTCATTTGGCAAATATTTGTCGAACAAATTGAATTTAAATTGAAAATGCCTCTTGTTTCGCCATGTCAGTGCCGTTTAGCTCATCGACTGGAAGAGCCGAGCGCATTAGATCGAAGAACAACAAACTGAGAAAATGTTGAGGACGATCAGCTCTATCAGTCTGTGCCTGCTGCTGGGGTTGCTACCATTTGCTGCAGCCGATGTTAATGGCACCATATCCCCCATCATTGGTGTGCTCGCCCAGGAGACCTATCCAGATGGCTTAGTAGCCAAGCACTTCAATGGCACTAGCTATATAGCTGCCTCCTATGTGAAGTTTGTGGAGGGCGCAGGCGGTCGGGTGGTGCCCATTGGGTGAGTGTTGACGAAGATAATAGACAAGTCTTATCATTCTCAAGATCAGATAAGTCGTGCTTGTTTACAATTGTGATAGTGTGCCATGACAGACAGATTTTAAATAAGTTAAAGCTAATTTATGGCATCTTATTAACTCTTCAAGCATTGGACACAATCGCAGCTACTATGAAGAGCTGCTGAGGAAGATCAATGGGTATGCCAATGGAATAGCTGCCATGGTTAAATCTGTTAATTTGTAAACTTCACTGCATTTAGTCTACTGCTACCTGGCGGCGCGACTTACTTCAATGAGACAAATGGCTATGGCGACGCGGGCGAGCACTTGATTGCAATTGCCAAGCAGCTGAATGATAATGGCACTTATTTCCCGGTGTGGGGCACTTGTCTGGGTATGGAATTGCTTGTGTTCAAAATGGCAAATAATACGGAAACGCGCAGTAATTGCCAATCTGTATCACAGGCTCTGGCCCTCGAACTGAAGCAGGGTAAGCTACCATGACAGCGTACCGAAGTTATATTCTATACAATGGCAACTCTTTTCCAGACTACAAAGAAAGTCGTTTGTTTGGCGGGGCCAGCGAGGAGGTCATCTGGCAGTTGAGCAATGAGAATGTTACCTATAACTATCATCGCTATTGCTACACGGAGCAGAGCTTTACTGTACCTAAATTGAACAACTCGTGGCGCATCATGTCCCTAAATCATGATCTGAATGGCTTTGAGTTTGTGTCCACCATAGAGCACTTGACTTATCCCTTCTATGGCGTACAATTTCATCCAGAGAAATCGCTCTATGAGTTCGTGAGCAAAGATGTGCCCCACTCTTCCGCAGCGGTGCACAGTGCACAATATTTCGCCGACTTCTTCATCAACGAGGCCCGTCGCAATTCCCACAGCTATGCCAATACTACAGAGCAGGCGCTTGCACTGATCTACAACTACAAACCAGAATATACTTCGATTATCGGCTCTGGCTATGTGCAGCAATATCTATTCGAAGATCCATATCGCAACGCTGCAGCAACGCAATTTAGCCGATTTTATTTATATTTTGCATTTTGTGGGTTTGCTTTGGCAGCGCTTATGCAGCTAATTTAGCAGAGCTCCTGACATTTAATTTCTACTTGTCCATAAAGATTGTATAAACATAAACAAGCATTTTTCTTTATCACTTACCAAAGCTAAATTACTAAGTTGTGTGTGTTTGGAGAGACATTTCGTAACAAACGCTAGCATTATCTTATTCTTATTGACTTATTGTTTACAAAATTGCATTCATAAACTTAGTATACCTTTACTTTTCATATTAAGTCATCTCATTTAATTATTGCTCTTTTTTTATAATTTTTTTCATTGCTTGTTTACTTTTATTGCCTATAGATTTTCGTATTTTTACAGCCGCCTAAAAGTATGCTTCGTTTCTTGTTAAAACGAATGAATTGAAAATTCTTTACTGTAGCATAGTTAATGGCTAAGAGGACCAAAAAGAATATTTGTTAAAATATATAAAAGTAATGCGTAAATAAGCTTAGAAAATGAAGTGAGTAAAAATAAAAAACTGAAAATGTATTCCATTCCATTAAATTGGCTATACAAATTTTACACAAATTGCAAATTGTAACGAAATAAAAAAAGATTAGTCTAAGATCTATGTCAACTCTATCGAATTTATTAAAAAAAAAAACAATTAAGAAAGCTCTAGTCGGGGTGTCCGATAAAAAAAAACAATTAAGAAAGCTCTAGTCGGGGTGTCCGATAAAAAAAAAAAAAAACTACATTACGAGACCAGGATTCGAACCCGGATTGTTTGCGCAACACCACCACTTCATAAATAAAAAAAAAAATAAAAAAACAATAAAACATGTCCCGTCGCCGCAAGGATTGAACCCGAGACTAATCGCTGACGGGCGCCGCCTCTATGAACGCAGCCACTGCACTGCTTTCTAACTTGCAAATTTGAACTTAAGTAGCAGCTAATAATTCAGCACAATTCAATCGAAATTTCGATTCTTCGAATAAAAAAGAATACACGCATAGAAAAAATGAGTGATTCTAGCTCTTATAGATGCTGAGATCCACGCGTTCACACATACACACAGACAGACAGACAGACAGACGGACAGACAGACAGACAGGCAGACAGACAGACAGACGGACAGACAGACAGGCGGACAGGTCTCAATCGACTCGGCTTGTCGTCCTGATCCAGAATATATATACTTTATGGGGTCTGCCACGCCTCCTTCTGCCTGTTACATACACTTGCACAAAACCATTATACCCTGATTTTCCATTTTCAATGTGATCAGATCAAATCACATCTCTTACTTTCGACAGAAAACTGTGAATTACCCTGTCCGTCTGAGTGTCTGGCCGTCGTAAACTATAAAAGCTTTAGAAATTTATAATTTGAAATGCATCTTCGTTATTTTCTTAATATCGATAAAAATCGATAATTTGGCAACGTTTTTTAAGCGTAGCCGCGTAGGCTCCCTACGATGAAAAACAACACATTATAATAGAGAATTGTGCTTCATCAGGCAAGCTTCTCGATGCCATAAATATGCCCCGAAAATTACCTTAAGAAAGTTCATCTAGAACAAAAGTTATACAACAAATAAGTTCTCACAGTGGGGCTCATACTCTCTCTTGACTAAGCGCAGCTGCTCAGCTGCGTGGGTGTGTGCATGTGTGCATGTACCCTGTGCAATGTATATATATTTGTGCAATAGTTCTCTTGCAATTCAATAACAAAATTGAATATAACAAACAGTTTTTTCGGCTTGTTTGCCACTTGTTTGCTCTTAAGGCAGTTAAGCTAGCAGAAGGACTATTTTTGCCACGTTTCAGTGTATTGTTGTTTATGCATTGTTTATGCAATGACTCAGCCAGTTTGCGGTTTCTCTTCTCTCACTGCGTTCGATATGATTCGTGTTATTTATTGTATTTTTTGGCATTCTCTGCCATTGCCGCTGGGCGCAGTCAGTAGAACCTCAAATGGCGAACAGTGCGGATGCAATTCCGCGCCCGATTGTGGGCATTGTCTGCGTAGACATAGCCAGCTCATTGAGTAAGCATTACGGCGTGGAGCCGGCCAGCTATATAGCCGCGTCTTACGTAAAGTTCATGGAAGCCGCTGGGGCGCGTGTCGTGCCCATTTGGTGAGTACGATTAGCATTATAATTTTTTTTCTAAATTTTTTCTATTTAGCATTTATGGCTGTCAATTACTTAAAATACAAAATTTTCGATATAGCGAACATTCAGTCTGTTATAAAATTTCACGTACCTTTCGATAAGCGAAACAATAGAATGCAACCTAAAGTGGGGTTGGGTCAGGAGCGGGACGACCTAAAACTCAGGCAGCGCCCAACTTCCATTGGCATCGTGTGCATGGACCTGGCCCAATCGCTAGATGCAATTTTTGGCGCTGGGCATAGTTGGCATAGTTATTTGCCGACATCATATGTTAAGCACTTAGAGGCATCGGGCGCACTGGTCATACCCATTTGGTGAGTTGGCCGTAGCTGAGCAATGCCGAAATTGCGCGCTTCAGGTGTGCATTTTATACATCATTTATTATGAGTCCACGGACGTACAGCGGGGCCTTTGTTCATTTCTCGCTGCCAAAATGATAATATTTTGATCCAACGAGAAATTTTAAACAGAATTCTTTGAGCTATAAAATGATTTTGTGCACAGTGTGCTACGTTTACGGTGTGATTAAACGTTTTCAACCTGTTTCTGCGATGTTTCTTTGGTTACTGATAGATCAATAAATCGCTAAAAAAATTTCAAATATTTGTGCAATAAATCTCTTGCAATTCAATAACAAAATTGAATATAACTAAGTTTTTTAAAATTAATTTTGGCAACTCTTAGAGCCTCTTTTGACACTGGTCTCTTGAACGCTTTCAAAAAGTTGCCGTCAGATTCAGTGTAGACTCCACTGTGCAGCGAGCTGTCCGTCTGTCCATTCGTATGAATTGCAATAGGTCACGTATCTAGACCTAATATCAATGAATGAACGTGATAATGGCACGTTTACACAATTTGACTAAGAAAATCCATTCATACAATCGAAAAGAAAAGTTATTCAGCAATTACTTATGCAGCCCAAATGCAGCCTCTGTGCTTTAGGGTATAACCTAGTCGGCTACTCCGTGTATCAAGAAAATATACCCGCACTGAATTTCAAGGGTAAAGTAAAATTTTCTTGTGAATTTGCTTATCATGCCAGGGTTGTTGGCAAAATGCCCAGCGCATTTCTTATTGATATTGCCGTGCTCTATCGCTTGTTTATGCGTATGCAACTGAATTGTTTTCACTTATTGTAGGATCGGACGTGATCGCACTTATTACGTGTCGATGATGCACCTCGTAAATGGCGTGCTGCTGCCCGGTGGAGCTGTCTATCTAGACGATGAGGACAAGCCAGCCACAGATAACCCGCGGCTAACCAATGAGTGCGTAAAGACAATTGAATATATCTATGAACTGGCACTGGAGCGAAATGAAGCGGGAAATTGCTTTCCCATCTGGGGCATTTGCCTGGGTTTTCAGTTGATGATGAAAAATGCAGCGCGGCAAATGAAGCGCACCAAATGCGGAAAAATATTCAATGCGCTTCCACTTGAGCTGACGGCCGACTATCGCCAGTCAAAGATCTTTAGTGGCCTTGCTCCGGAGTTGCATGAACTCTTGGAGTCCGAGCCCTTTGCTTGCCATCAGCACAAATACTGCATCACGGAGAAGAGTCTGGGCGCGGCTGCCGACGATTGGCGCGTGCTGGCCACTCGCAAGTCGGCCAACGACGAGATCTTCATTACGCTCATCGAGCACAAACGATTTCCATTCTATGGCTGCCAATTTCATCCTGAGCGTGCCGCGTACGAGAAGCTCGTTGAACGCAAAGACCCATGCAGTAAGTCCCACACTGAGACGTGCATTCAGCTAAACCAACACTTTGCCAATTTCTTTGTGACTGTCTGTGGGCAAAACTCGAATCGTTTTGCCAACGAGGAGCAGCTCGCGCGCCATTTGATCAGCAACTGGAATCCGGAATCCTGTGGAGAATATGGAGATGTCAACTGGCGGGAGGTCTATCTCTTTTCCAAGGACGTGGACTATCCGAAGGCTGTGGCAAATTGAGCGCCTTTAAGTGGACCAAAACTATATTTATCCGTAGTAGTTAATGTAATGAAACTTAGCCATCGCGGTCAGGCGGAGCAACTGTATGAGGGGTGAAAGCGAGATAGTTGAGGCTGACGCTGACATCATTGAAGAAAGATAAGGCAGCGGTGATCGCTGGCACTGGCTTGTGCTTTAGGCGCGAGAAGCGGGCATTGGCGTTGATATGATAAAAGTAACGAGACAGAAAATTGAACAGAAGTTGTCTGAAGTATAACAATACATATATATCAATATATATTTTACTGACGAACTCAAGCAGAAATACGAAGTGGAGCTGAAAGGACGTACTTAGAGTTAAATATGTGCTGTGAATAACTAGATACATTCACAATTGCCATGCGCAATGAAATTAATACTACCTAATGGAACTACTAAGGGAAAACTTGCACTGACACACTAGCTGATATAAAGCTGGATGTAGTTAATATAGATATAGATTACCTGATTGGGAAATGTGTTCAAATTGTTTAAATAAAAACGCAAAACATATAAAATATACATATTAATGAGCTATATATATATATATATATATAGCTATATATATATATATATATATATATATATATATATATATATATATATATATATATATATATATATATATATATATATATATATATATATATATTTGATCATATATATATATATATATATATATATATATATATATATATATATAAACAGTTGTTATTGTTTAAGCGCTTGTTCAGTTGAGCTTGCTTTATATTATGAAGTAATCGAAACGTTATCTAAGCCATAAAAAAATTTAATAATAATTGGATGAAAATTTATTCGCGAAAATGCATTAACTTTTGAAATATGTCGTCGAATATAGATTACGAAGCCAACTGTTGTCAAAATAGAAAGTTTTTTTGGTCTGACTAGAAAGCCTCATGGAGATCTGCATTCGCAGAGCTGGAATATGCCTTTAGTAGACAGTGCTAAGCTCATATAAACAAATTTTAGTGATCCCTATGTTAGCGAGAGAGAGAAATAAGAAAGAGAAAGAGCTCCTCAGTACAGCTTTGAGACATGTTTGTAGGACTCAAAATAGAAAAATTATGAAACATATTTTCTACAGAGAAAAAATACAATAAAAAAAAAAATACATTTATAAAAAAAAATTTTTTTACATATTTTTACAGAGCAATAAAAAAATTACGTAAAAAAATAGAAAACATTTTTTATTGATTCCATATTATCATTTTTTGGTTTCAAATTCTGTACATAAATTCTGTTTTTATTTATAATAAAAAAACTAATATAATAAAAATGTAAACATCGCAATGCAATTTAAGTAAAATAATTATGCTCTGCTTATATGACCGTATTAATAGTAGAGAATGATCAAGATATCTATCAAATATATCAAACAACTTTAGTCTGGTTTGCTGGTTTTTCAGATAGGACTAGAGTTTTCTAATTTTATTTAAATATATAATTTATTTATATATGTGTGTAATGATTCCATCTAGTAGCCAGAATGCTAATGTCAGCAAGGCAACAAGGTGTATACAGGTGCGCCCCGTCTCGCACTCTCACTTAGTTTCCGGTTCGCACATGCAAATTTCGTGTATTTTTCCATTTGACCTTTTTCAGCACGTGTCTGGGGACGCGCTAACCACTCCTGTATCTATTTGACCATGTGTATTTGTTTATCTAATTAGCACCGTTTTTCTTTTTTGGTGTTGAGGTTTCCCGTCCTTTGTACGATTTCCCTCTGGGCTTCTGCGCATTTGTCTGGCGCGTGTTTGTGCAGTGCCACAGTCAGCCTTGTTCCAACCGCAATCACCTGTTGGGGTTAAGGTGCAAATTGACGGACAGTATTAAAATAATTGTGGCTCGTCTGTGGCAACATGTTATTGTTATTGCTCTGCCTCATTGTTTGGCTGAGACGGTATTGTTGTCCGGACATGGTGCTCATTTTTTCTACCTCTTGTTCTACGTCTACTTCTTCCTTTTTTGTGTATGCCTGCAACTAAGTGCTGTCTCCCTTTGCGCCATATAGCGGCCAAGAGCAGTACATGAGAAATTACTCATGCGCCACGTGTGACGGAACCCTTTCATATGTGTGCTCAGGTTGTTAATTTGTTGTTAATTCGGTATTATTGAAATATGGAAACATAATATAATATTTATTTTAAAAAATATTTTCGGAAAAAAATTTTTTTAAAATATAATGAGGAAAGAAACTTTTTCTTATAATTAAAAACAAACATTTAAATAAATATTTGTAAAATCAACAAACAAAAATGGTTTTTAAGCATTTTTAATGCGTGCTGAAATAAGCTTCTTATTTCAAAACATATTTTGCTAGCTATAAAAATTAAAAAATAATATTTCAATTGAAAATATATAATTTTTACAAAATATTAGTTTATTGAATAATAAAATTAAAAAAAAAAATAAATAAATTATAAAATAGCTGAAATAATAAAGAAAAAATAATTTAAATTATATTAAAATATTTTAACATAAGACAATTTAAATTACTAATATTTTTTAGCCCAAAAAAATAATTAAAAATATATATTATATATATTTTTAAACAAAAATATAAGCTTATTAAATTATATAATGTTATAATTTTCTCTTATTCATTCTAGATTGCAGAATTCCCCATAAGTAGGCTATAGTAATTATTCAAATGATATATATATATTTTTATTGTTCGGCCTTAGCATTTGACGCTTCATTTGCTGCGGTGTTTCGCTGTGTGTGTGCGTGTGTGTGTGTATTAAGCACTCTTCATTTAACCCGCCTACATATAGTCAGCCCAACGGCCGGCTTAAACGCCCTTGTGCTCATTTTACACACTCACACACACACGGGCTTACAAAAGTTACTGCTCGCTCACACTTACATTTGTAAACTTTTGAATACATTCACAGTGAGCCGACACACACACACTCACAGTCCCAAAGGAGGCCAAACCTCCTTTTTTAATGACGTCATAGGCGCTTGCTGCAAACAATTTGGGGGCTGCTCGATTCGGTTCCATCGTTGCCCAGCTGCCCTTTAAACCTAGTTGGCGTGCATTGAACTGTCCTCTGTCTCGCTCTCCCACTACCTCTCTCTCTCTCTCACACGCACACACAGTTGGCTTTGCGCAGCTGCTGTGCTCTTTGCGGCATTTGCAGGCTGCAGCTGCAACGGGCAATGAACTGCCTGCCTGCCTGCCTGCCTGCAAGGACATTGCAGGCACACACACATACATACACACATCCGCCGGCACTTACACACACACGCATACTTGCTTGACACTTTAGCCCATTTCTGCTACAACAATAAAATTGTTGCAGCCTCTTTGGCCACAGCAACTCTGCTCCCCTACTACAGCCGTCTGCTATTGCGCCTTATTGTCGCATTTGGCATTTAACTGCAGTTGAAGGATGCCCGGCTGCTGCGCGCATCTGGCCATTTGCTGGCTATCAACTAGCCGCTTACGCCTGTACTCTCAAGGCTGCAACAATATAGGCAGCCAAACAGACATTGAAATTCGACTCGAAATTTCGATGCTATTCTCGCTTAAGTCTGGTTTATTCTTTGTAGTCATTGTTGGGATTTGATAATAAATTATAAAAGCAATTTAAAGATGGAGAGTTGGGGGGAATACTTTATATATACATATGTTGTTTTGCATGTTTTGCATGCCAAGAAGTTGTTTAGATTATTTATTTATTTAATTAAAATTATTTTATTATTTATATTAGCTTAAAGAGTTCTGAGTTAATAATTTGAAGATGAGCTGCATATCTGTCTACAAACTTAACAGCATTAAAAACACGCTTAAACTGTACTAGAATATATTAAAAAAATATGCTGACGGATCTTATAATTTTTAAAAGTAATTTATAAAATAATAAAATAAATAAAAATAAATTAATTAAAAATAAAAATAATTAAAAATAAAAATGGCAAAAAGAATTTAGTACAAAATCAGCTCGGAGCGAGTTTCAAAACTGACTCAGCCTTGTTCAAGTTAAGTAAGTTCAAAGTATTTTCTACCTGGCTATGTTTTATTACCTTTTTCTAAATTGAAAGCGCATAATGGGAGTTTAAGGTTCGTGTTGTTAGCTGCCAGTCAGGCAATGCCTATTAGCGTGCTCTTTACTTGATTTTATGGCCACGCTTTTGGTGACACGCCAGGCCAGGCTACGCGGGGTTACAGTTAAACTGACATTTCGCCATGTCTTTCTGTGTGTGTGTGTGTGACGTCATAGCTGTGTGCTGAGCCAGAGCTAGAGACCGTTGGAAGGTCAATCCGTACGACACAGTGGAAAAGCTGCTGTGATGTGCTGGCAACATATTTAGGTTAAGCCCATCTCTCGAGCGGAAATCTGTGGCGGGCTTAGTAGGTGCCGCTGCCACTGATAAAAGAAGGCGCATTAATCAGCGCGGTGAGTGTTCGAGTTGTGCTCGTTGTCGTTGTGGTTGTTCTTAGCTTTATTGTTGGTGTTTTGGGTCAAGTGTGTGTTGTGGCTTGAGCTGCCGTTTGACCTTTGTTGCCGTTGCCTTGTTGCCGTTGTCGCATCCTTTGGCCTCACTTTTGTTGCAATTGTTTCGTGTCCTATGGGACAAGGTTGCGAACCTCTCGCGATTTCACATTCAAATTAGTTGCATGCGCTATTTATAAGCACCAGCTGCCACTTGAGGGCGTTGCAGGTGAAAGGGTTAACAGCAAACGGGTTGCCCCTCATCATTTGCCGCATTATGCAAGCCACGCGCTGGTCGCGAGCGCGTCCGAACGTCGCCTTTTGTTTTCGGTGTTTATTAATAAGTTGAGAGGTGGCCAAGCAGGTGCCAAGGGATGTGCAACTAATGCATATATAAATAAATCAATCATTGCTCCAAGCACTCTCACACAGCTCACAGTCATACTTAATCAATTATGTATGTGGCAGGCATACGTGACGTATGCGCAATATGTATATTTAGTATTTTAATTTCGAATTTGTTTAACAGAGCTGACCGCGTACTCTTGTGACGTGGCATGAAATGCAGTATGATTGTGTGGTGCTGCGGTGGCGCGGTGGTATCTATGCTGCAGCAGTGCAGTACGTCAACGAAGCCGACGACAACGTAGCGGGCAGCCCTGACCCAGTTAGCAGCCTTTCGTTTGCTTCCGCCGACAACGCACACATACCCGTACATACACATAGATATATATATATTCATGATGCCATAACGACGTCACGTTGGAAACCTTCGTCAATGTGGTCAACCTGTGGTCGAGCTTCACTGAAATATTTCTCCACAGTCCAAAACCGGCTATAAAAACATTTTGCCACGTTAAGTTGCTATCTGTCGCACGTTACACATTGCGTATACGCAATAAGTGCTCTTATCGAGCTACCGAGCAAATCAATTTATGCGGTTGCTGCAGCCCGCATATCCTTGCACTTTATCTAATTGAAAGCGTGCGTCAAGACGCTCTCGCTCGGGTTCAATGTCCTGCTTTGCATGCTGCTTCAGGCTTC